AATATAAAGTCATTTGTAAACATACCATCACAGGAAGTTGTGTTTTTGGACTGTGGGAGGAAGCCATGGAGCCCGGAGAAACCCACGCTGACATGAGAATATGCAAACTCAGCCAGCGGACGGGAACCCTGAACCCTCTTGCTGTAAGGCGACAGTGCTAACTACAACCTCATTGTGCTGCTCACCTATGAGTAGGTTTACCTAAATAATTCACACTTAATCTTAATAAATCTCAGTCTACAAATCGACATAGGCAGATCACTGAGCTTTAGGGAGTGAGATTTTTATATCTGGCAGAACAAACAGACAATTTGGCTGCTATCTTTTAGACTCTGTCTGGTAACATAGCACAACAGAGCACATGAGGACACAAGTAGTTTTTGTTTTTTAGTACAGTTTCAGATAGGAGAGGAGTCGTTGTCGCCCCTCTCTCACCTCTCACCTGTGAAGCACCCACACCTCACTGAAACTTGTTAGCACCCCCCCCCCCTCCCCCTTCAATGCACCTGCAGCACAAAGTGGTAGAACATTGACGCAACCTGTGGCACACCTTTTTGACAAATCTGTTTCTTTTTATGGGAGTTATTCTGTTACGAAATTAACACACACACACACACTGGCTGCAACCAGCTGGAAACTGAACTCACTGCCCTGAATTAAAGGTTCTTCTCTTTAAAATGAAAAAGTCACCACCTGATTTAACCGAGAAACATCCAGGGATCCAGCTTAGGTGTTGATTCTTTTGTGATTGCTAAACAAAACTGTAGACGCTTTAATTATTTTCTATAAGCACCGCCAATCAAACTGATCCTTACAGCCCCACCTTTAGAGATTTCAAGAACATTATGTTTTCTTTCTTGTCTTCCTAAATCATTACACCTTGGTATCTGTTACTCAATGTGAATTTCATTCAACACTCTTGCAAAAAAAATATAAAAGTGGTGTTGACACTGCTACTAATGCTGTACGTAAAACTTCTTTCAATATATCTTAAGCCAGGGCTCGACAGCAATGGTCGCCAGATTGCAACTGACAACCATTTTTAACAACTGGCAACCAATTCACACTTTTAAACAGCAGTGAAACATGCACCCCAAAATAAATATATTTTTATCTTCCATATTGTCGGACTTCTCTTAATCAATATTCATTGAAAAACAGAGGACCATCTCTTCAGAACAACCTTCTTCCATCTCAACAATCATCATCTACATTATCGTTATTCAAAAAACATCTAAAAGGACTCTAATTTGCTAAGACTCCTAATACTTTGATTTATTTGTAATTTCTCTTTGTAAATTGTACATCTTTTACAAATTTGTATTACTTCTTAGTCTGAACACTTATTCAAGTATGCAATCTTTGCTTTCTGTCTTTTATTTTCTAATAAGAGGTAAAAATGGCTTCTAACCTCTCCTGTACAATGTTTTAATTTCTAATTTATTTTTCCTGTTTTTTTCTATACATATAGGGTATGTGCTAATAAACTAAACTAAACTCAATATTTGTTGCAGTGGTGATATTTAAATATTGTTATTACAGTCAGAACTGAGACAGACATTGTGCACATGTTTTGCTGTGTTGACTCTCGTGCATTAGGCATCTGTTTTGGAGACAATGGTGACGCAAATGAAGTGTTTTGACTGTGGGGAGAAAAGTTTGACTAACCCGTCAACATTCCAACATTATAAAGAACCAAATGACCCTGAACGAACAGATAAATGATACAGGCTTATCTGCACAGCATCTTAAATACTCAAAACTATAAGGTTACTAAAATGCCTACCACATTTTTAGTCTTGGCAACCAAAAGCTGATGCCTGGCGACCACTTTTAAGTGTTAGTGTTGAGCCCTGTTAGCGCAAAGCACACTTCCACTTCTCTTTCCAATGGTGTTTCTGTGTTTTTTAAAATCACTTTATTTTGTTGGGGGCAGTTCTGTCACTTCAACCCCTGTAAATACTATATACTGATAACATCATAGCCTACTAATACTGCTGAACTTTCTGTTTTTATTTTAAGGTGAGTCTACACAGCATCTGTGACGGTGCAACATGCCTCCTTCAAAGCCATGTGTAACACTGGCACTGTCTGGGAACTTGTAGTTACTGGTATGTTTGCACATTTCCTGTCTTTATTCCTCTTATGTCAACAGCTTTTGCTGAAATACTGCAAATTCCCCAAAAAGTCCCCATTCACCCACTATGTTACATCTTTATTGTCTGGTTTAAACATTGGTAAGCAATCAGATGACACAATCACATCTGGGGGTTTACAGTGAAAAAATGTGAGGTATAAAAAGAAACAGGGGAGAGCTGGAGAATTAACATGTTGGTTATAGTAAAGGCCATTTTGTTACAGGAAACAATCGATGAAAATTGCTGGCAAGTTTGGTATAAACAAGGGGTATTGCGGGCAGTGTTACCCTGACCCTACACCACCTCAATTGAGGACAAAAGTGAAAAATCACAACCCCAAGGGGAACACATTCCAGGGTGGGCTCTCAGTGGGTGAAAGCTTAGAGGGTTATCCGGGTTTATCGGAGCGGCTGGCCTCCATCCAATGATAACTCAGCCATAAGGCAGAGGAGCTCTGACCGGACATTTCAAAGTTTACTGATGAGATGTCATCTTAATTATGTAATCTGGACCAGTTCTTGTGCAGGGCCTTTCTCTCTCCCATCACAGCAGACCACAGCAAAGAATCAATGCGTTATTAACTGTGTGTGCATTGCAACATCACACTTCTACAGTTAGTTGTCGTTCATAATAACACCAGTACAGACCATATTATACCAGATAGGAATATTGCTAAGTTGTTTCATGATGATTTTCCTGTTTCTAGATTGGTTCGTTTAGCTTTTCATTACTTTAGCAAAACTCACAAATGAATATCTCGTCTTACTCACAGATACAGAATCCAGAGTACACACTGTATATCCCAGCGATGTGTCTTATAAACTATCAGCATGTCTTTACAACCAAAAGCAATCCTTGTACATTTTTGCACGTGGTGATTCTGTTTTTATCTTACTGTGCTTGATAGGTTTTTCTTTCTAGGAATACACCACTGATAGCAAAACTACTCATATTCCTGCATAAGTTAACACTGCCAATTATGGATCTGAATGAATTCTTTGGATCCATCAATTAAAGGAACAAGGACAAATCATATGCAGCGCTACAATATCGGAAGAATTTGCGTGCTAATGACTTTATTTACTTAGGTCAAAAAGCAGAAGCTGGTCAACTGCTCTCACACAGGTATAACCTGTCAGACCTCAAGGGTAGGCTGGTGAGGTGATAAATATACGCTTAGCTAAATTAGAGAGGTTGTAGCCTTAAGAGGAGATTCTTCAAGCAACAGTCACAATATGTTGGAATAACTCGGAGCAACATAATAAGTGAATAACTCCACCCTGGGACAGTAAATTGCTTCTGATTATGGGAATGTGATGTGCAATAATTGATATGGCAGCAATGATCACAATGCTGATGTTGCTGTATTTACTTAAGCATCCATATTTACATAGCAAAAGGTTGAACTGATGCTCAGCCCTTTGTGTCAATTGTATTCTTTGGGTTTTGTTCGATAAAATCTTACAAAAAAACATGACAAATTTAGGTAGAAACTTAACTTATTAATGTTTACAGTGGAGTGATTAACCACAAAATTTCAATATGAGAAGCCTGTCGTTACAAGATCATATGGCGAGACAACAAAAACTCATATTGAACCACTGGCTGCTCACAAGTGACACTTATGTAAATTCCCCGAGGGCAGTAACTCAAAAGGACGTCTCCTTCACCCTCCCTGCCTTGGTCTCTCCCTAACACAATTACTGATAGATGCTAGGAATACTGACAAGATGACTTGGCAACAAGGCCCCTAGACTTGCAACTGGTCTCTCTGCAAACATTTCACCAGAACGAGTTTTACCATGACAGCATCACTTGGCCACAACAAATACAGAGCCTTTCACTGGGCAGCCCTGAAAAGAAGCTTTGGGGAAGTTGCCCTGAAATTCCCTGCTGTTGTCACCAATCAGCTGCCTGCAAGTGCATGACTTCACAGCACTCTGCCTTTTTATCACAGTTTAAACATGCAACATTCTCACTGACTGTATGAATGACACCAAGTTTAAAGTGAAAATTAACCTCAAACAATGAAAAAAAATCTGTATAAACATTTAAAGTGTTCCTCTGTTTCAAGACTTCTCGGTACAATAAAACACAAAACCAACTCACACTTACCCGGTTTCTTCTCACTTATAAGCTTCATAGTGAGGCAAAATATCAGCTCACAGGTGTAAACAAAAAGAAAACAATAAAACCAGTGTGTGACAGACTTGTTGGAGGAAAGCTCAAGACGCCTCGGACAGTCTTGGATATTCAAAGAGACTTCACACACTGAAGAAAACGACACTTTTCGACATCCTGCGCAAAACCTGCAAAGTTTTCCTGGGTGATCTTCACTCACATCATCCGAAATACTGGGTAAATAAGGGGGCGGGGCCTCGCTGCCTCCTGAAGACAGGAGTCGGGTGCTGATTGGCTGATGCAAGCCAGGCCCACTTATCAGGAGCTTTTTCACCACCGGGGAACGGACCAATCACAGCGCACCAAATGCAACCTGAGGGTTCATAATAACAAAAGGGGGGTCTCCCTGACGACAGCAGGCTTGTAGATTGGACAGATCAGCCGGAGACACTGACCAGCTAATCTGATCGAAGAGAGGAGACCCATAGGGACATGATTGTGATCTGAACACGCACACCATGACACGATAATGGGAGTCAATAAAAAGGCAGTGGGAGGAAAACACACGCTGGGTGTCTCATTGCAACACCGCATGGTTGTGCAAACCCCAGCTGATCGGTGTTACACAGTGGAGGGTTGCGGTAACCCAGATCACACATCAGAAAAAATGTCAGGCTAACGTGCACAATTAAACCATAGCGGGTATTTAATTTAATTTCCCTTGCGCTGGTTGACACTTACGTGGTCTGTTCCGTCTCACCGACTCGGTCCTCCTCCGTAGCCGGCACCTCTTGGCCGGGGACCCGTTGCACTCCGCATCGTCCCCGCGGTGCAGGTGATGCATGTTCTCAAATGTGCTGCTGTTGGGTCCGGAGCTCGAGCCGAATGTACTGTTGCTACTGCAGCAGCTGCCGTTAGCATGAAACCCCCTCTGGCTCTGCCCGTTGTTGACATGAAAAGGTCCCGACGCTCCTTTCTTATCGATCATTGACTTGGCTTTATCCATGACAGCAGCTAGCCTAGCCTAGCTTAGCATCTGCAGGGGGAGGAGAGAAGTACAAGCACGGCCGCTAGCGGTGAGACACCCGGCTACTGCTTTAGCTCAGCTAGCTAACGTTAGCCCGGCTGCTCGCAAGCTAGTGACACAGTCGCGTGACCAGTTTGCTCGTGTCCTTTCCCGCAGTGAAACGTCTTCCACAATGAGATATCACGCTAAATTTTGACGCACATTCTCGCTGTAATTGCGTGTAAAATAAAAACGCGAGCAGCCGCTAAAATACACCGTTTCCTTTGAGGTCACTCGCGGTCATTTCCCCACATTGAGATTCTGGCAGGCGCAGCGGCAGCCGGTGCGTGCGCGCGCGTGAGTGTGTGTTGGTGGAACGCTACGTCACACCAGCTCCTCCAGCCGAGGCCTGAACCAGTTCACCTCCTCCGACCGGTTTCTCCTCTCTACTACACAATCACACTGTAATTCAACACTGGGACGCGACAGAAACGCAACAGAGGGCTTGTCCCGTGTCGGCTACAGTACAGCAGCGCGCTGGTTCCCTGCTGGAATATTAAACAAAGTCGCCACAGTACCAGCCCGTGCAGCTGTGGGCGCTTTATTTATAAACGTCGCTGTTCGCTGTCACCCTCGTCCCCCCTGCCTGCCTGCCTGCAGTCCTCTACACGTGTGATGTGAGCACAAAGCTGCCTGTCAATATATGAGTCATGAAAATGAACTGCTGTAACCCTGGAGCTGCAGCACTGGCCTCTGTCTTTTAATCGCTGTATCTGATTTGTGCACTACATGGGAACCTCACCACAATTACACTTTAAAGGAAATTAAAATAAAGTGTAATGCACTGTAGTTAATTTCATAGGTATATTAGGTTTATTTTAAATCAATTAATATTCATTATTTAAGAAAGACCTGATATCAAACAGTGCATTGGATGCATAGCAAGAGCACTTGAATCAAGATACAAAGGTCAACCAACAATCTCAGCTTCATAAGGGGAAACAATCACAAGTCTGGGACCATTCAGAAGACATTTCCTTGTTTCTTTCTTAGCCAATCATTCCTGATATAAATCTCAGTTTTCAATTTTTTTAATATGCATCTAAAGCAGGAGTGTCAAACTCATTTTAGTTCATGGGCCACATGCAGTCTAATTTAATCTCAGATGGGCTGGCCCAATAAAACCATCGCACAGTCCAATATTTTACCTTTTTTGTGTAAAGAATTACAAGAACATTCTGTAGATGTTCATCCTTTAACAAAACACATGAACAGCCCGAGATGTCTGAAGAAAAATACATACAATCTCAACAGCATATCTTACGTTTTCCACATTCGGTCACATCATAACGTGAATTTATTCATATGTTCCCTGACACAGATTCTTTTGAAATGAAGCAGCTGAGTTGAGATCAGGGAGAGGTCAGGCAGAGGTCCTCTTCTTGTCCCAGACTCCAGGCTGAAGACCAGAGGGTACAGAGCTTTTGCCACCAGGGGCCCGAGTCTCTGGAACAACCTGCCCAAGGATATAAAGCTGTCTGCATAATAAGTCTCTAAGTAGTAAGTCTCCTAAAAGCATACTGCTATGGGAAAGCATATGCTTACTTTATCTGAGCTGTCTGTCTATTTTATTGCTCTCTTACTGACATTATTTCCCATTTATTATCTTGATTTCAGCTTTGGCCTTCCTTCTTCCGCCTTTTATCTTTTACTGGATGACATTTTATGGCATGATATTTGTTTTATTCTCCTTGTGTTTAGTTTTATTGTACAGCACTGTGTGCTTTGAAAGATGGTATTAAAATAAAGTTTATCATTATAATGTTTTGCACAATGTTCAGTATCTTTAAGCATGGTCACAGTAAGTATGCATTGTTATATCAGAGACCTGTATTCTGCTCAGGGTGTAAAGCCTCTGAAGCAGAATTTTACATGAAACAGGGAGCCCATTATTTAATTTGCTCCTGAAACCTGAGACCTCAGGTTGGACCCTTTAATGGTCCGGTTCTGGCCCACAGACCCTATGTTTGACACACCATGATGCTATAACTGATGTTACATCAATAATGCTCGGAAGGCAGCAACAATGAAGGACATTAAAGACTCTTGGAAGTGTACAAACTGTACTGCAGTTATCTAAAGTGATACTTCAAAAAGCAATAGCAACCATAAAGTTATTACACGGACATAACTTAGCTCCAAAGGTACACTGGAGTTCATCGGATAGGGAAGTAATATCATAAGAAACAGCTTTAATACTAAGAGGCTCCACCAAGAGTAAAAATGCCCCACAGTGATTAACATGAACATAAGTGGAGCATGGCAGAAGTCTCAATAACCAAGGAATAATACATGTAGGCTATGTTATGATATAATCGTGTAACAGCATCAATTACTGTAAATATTCCATAATTTCACTCAGTGAAAAGCCATAAAGGTGAAATGCTGCCATCTTCTGGTTAATATTAATGAACTGTGTTTTACATCTCTGCCCACTGAGTAATTGAAAGATATATTAGGAATTTCTAACTGTAATTTAATAAGCTGTTGGCTTGTAAGGTAGAGTCAAACATGTTTGCACCATGTGATTGTAATAAAAGTCTAATAAATTAACTTGGTGGCCTAGACTTAGTAAGAATCAGGTCAACACTGTGTAAAAACCCCATAACAAGATTGAGCTCAGTCATTACCCAGCCAATTAGTCACAGCCCACTGTTCCTTAAGTCTCTACTCTTCTGTAAATAAGGACTACACTGTATATATGCTCTTGAAAGCACCTGCTGACAAGAAAAATATGTATATTATGGTTTCAGAGATGAAATGCAGGTCTTTTTCCTTTATTTTGTTATATAAAAATGCCTATTTCCAACATGGCTTGGAGTGACTTTCATCCTGTCATCCAAACACAGCTTGTAAATGTAAGAATGTAGTGTTTGTCCTTAGCGTCAGGTTCCACTTAAAAGTATTGCAAATGCAATACTCCCTTTTACACCTAAGGGGAAGAAAATGGTATAATTTAAGACCGACTGCCACTGATCAAACATGTTACCTGCAAAGAAATAACTATAAATGCCCATTTAACCGATGATATTGTTTAGTATCTTTCAGTGAAAGCACAAAGTAATGATACGATACTGTGACACATAACTCAGCTGTCTAATGCCATGACAAACACTGATTTTATTAAACAATAAGGCACGAAACACAAACAGGAGTATCTGAAATTGCTTTTAGGCATCACACTCAAGGAAACAGTTACTTGTATTCCATTACTCCCCAACCCTGAAGATCAGTAGCACCCTCACATCTGTCTGTCAAGAAGCTACAAGCTAGCAGATGTTTGGCTTAGCTTGCCCCAAAGACTGGAGCAGAGGGAAACACACTGTTCTGCATTAGATCATGAGTATAATTACAACCGCATTAAAGCCACATGAGGACTTTATGTGATGGCATTATTAACGTCATAAACATTAGAGGTGATTTAAGCACTTTGGCTGGTTGTGAGGTAGTGAAAGAGGTTTGTTTTTGACTGTTTAGACTGTCACTCCACCTTGAGAACCTCCTTTCAGTGTAAAGTCCAGCTCATTGCACGCTCCGTCAAGAGCAGAGGTCAGTAAATTAACCTCTCTCTCTGTCCATTTATTGTTTCTACCAAGGAAGTTCAGTCCCATCCCAGCTGTATGCCCTGCCAGTCTTTTCCATATTCAGAGAGTCTATGATGCTCATCAGACAGGTCACAGAGTGTTCGGCACTGAACAGCTTGCCTTTTGGCACGTTCTTGTGATACGGCCGGGAGAGGTCTGTGTTGACTGTTCCTGGATGTAAGCACACACACACCACCTGGGAAAACAGAAGCAAGTTCATCAACCTTCTAAAACACAGGCCAAAACAACTATGAGCACAGCCAGACCTACCTTGGGTCGACTGCGGCCCAGCTCTATGGACAGGTTCCTGGTAGCCATGTTGAGAGCTGCTTTAGACATTCTGTAGCTGTACCAGCCACCAAGACCTGAGAGCAGGGGTGGAGGGTGGAAAACACAGAGGAACACAAGTGAAACCATACTGTATTAGCATGTTTACATTACCACAGAGCAACCAAAAGTAACACAATACCAACCGTTGTCGCCAATAGATCCCACTTTGGCGGTGATGTTGACGATGATGCCACTGTGCTGCTTGGCTTTCTCTGCGGGCTGCTGACCGAAACTCCCTCCGCCCTTCTGAAGGAGGGGGGCGAAATACTTGGCCATGACCAGGGGGCCCACTGTGTTGGTCGTCAAGGTGGAAATGATGCCCTGAGAGGGGAAGCAAGGCAATAGATACAGGTCAGTGGTTAGATCAGTGAAAAGGTGTGATGGGTGTTTGATGGGTCTGGATACATAGGTGTGAATGGGGGACTGATGGTTCACTAGACCTTTGGACAGACACAGCTGGGGCGCAGGATCCAGGATAGTCGGAGCACATTGAGTGGCTGGAAGCATGTAGATGTCAGGGAGGATGCAGGGGACATGTACCCCTTGATATTTAGAACATGTGCATTTTACTGTTACGGTTTTTGGGCTTTTTGCCTCTAATGACAGGACACTTGGAAGCGAGAGGTGACGACATGCAGCAAAGGGCCACAAACTGAAACTGAACTCATGGCCAGAGCGGCAAGGACACTGCCTTTGCTCACGGGGGAATCAGTAGCTAAGTGGGTATGCACCAATTGGTTCCTTTTCTGCATTAATTGGTGGGGTGCCCAGGAGCTCAGGGGGTAGAGCAGGCGCCCCACTTTGACACAAGACATTTATACCATAAATTGATGCAGAAAATGCACAATCTGGTTCATACAAACTCACCAGAATGTAGGAAATTAAGTGTTTGATGCTCAAACTTTTTGGAGGACACCCCAACCCCCCACTTCATGTGTCCCCCTCCATGCCGAAACGAAACCTACGCCCTTGCTTAGAAGAACCAGTATAGGAAATTATCTCCTTCCTCCTTCAATGCAGAGAAATGACACCAATCTCAATACCAAAGTCTCGCCATTTATTGTAGACTTCCTTAGTTGGTTTGTCACAGCAAACAGACCCATTGGGTGAAGCTGCCTGGCTCACACTAAGGCCCTTCATACATGGTGTCACATCAGCAAGCTAGAAATGAATGTGGCCAAGACTGAAGAACTGATTACAGAGCCACAGGTCAACGTGCTGAAACTTTAGAAAACTTTAAATACCTTGGTACAGTTATGGACTCCCATGTGAGCATCTCTGTAAATACTGAGTATATTTTCAAGAGATGCTCACAGCGACTTTATCTTCTCAGAAAGCTCAGTGGTCTCTGTGTTAGTCAGCAGAATTTAGAATTAGTGTACAAAACTATGGTTGAGAGTGTTTTAACATTTCACCTTACTGCCTGGTATGGTCATCTTAACTGTACGGCCAAGAACAAACTCTCTAGGATTGTATCAACGGCAAGGAAAATAGTTGGCAAGCCACAGTAGCCCTTGACGCGAAGTCCTTCATTCCAAGTGTCATTAGTATTCTTAACTCAACATAGTGACAGCTGAGTTTTAAACCACAGTCAATGAGCTGATTTAATGTGTTAAGTGTTAAGTGTTTTGTAATGACTTTATATGCTTGTCTAACTATTTGTCTGCTTTTTACAATATTGTCTTTTGTGTTTAGTGAGCTGAAGACAACTTCCCACCCATGATGGACAATAAAGATACATTCTATTCTATTTTATTCTATTATAAAACGTGCACACATGTTGAAACAGAATTTAAAGTGTTTGATATTCTCTCAGCTTTTGGATGATGCACCTAGCAGCACCTGATCTTAATAAAATCTCCATCTTTTCACTGTTGATACTGCCCCCTGCTGTCCTGTGGATTAATTTGAATGATGCAACTAGCAGGCAAATCTAAGAGAAAAGTTGAAATAACTTTTAAACTGATATGGTTGTGTACATTATATTTATGCCGAATTTAGAGTCAGGTCGTATTTATTCGACCAAGATGGCGATGTCTCGCCAAGTTCTTGTATATTTACTCAAAATGAAACTTAATTTTAAATCACAGGATTTGTTAATGAGGTTTGGAACGGGGCTCAGTATTTAAAGTCCCCTGACACTACAATGGCCTGTCGCGTGTCCACACAGCCGCTTGAGAATCAGTTAAAACAGAACCTGACAGTTTAAAGTGACCCCCTTTAATTAAGATAATCCAAACTAAATGGACTTTACAGCACATTTAGTACACACACCCCATCAGGCAGGACCATGCTTCAGTTGTATTCTACTTCTCATGGTGACAGAGCAGCTCGTGCTTTACCTGAGCAGACACATCTCTCAGGCTGGTCTCTCCTTTACCGGAGGGATGAAGCATCGCCGAGGAGTTGACGATCAGATCCAGCCTACCGAAGCTCTCCTTGACCCGATCCGCAGCTCCACGGATGTCCTCCTCCCGGTTCACGTCCAGCTGGAGGACCGTCAGTCTGCCCGGGTGTTGCCCGGCCAGGCCCCGCAGCTCGGCCGCTCCGTCCGGGTTTCGACATGTCGCTATGACAGCAGCGGGGGTTTTGTTTCTCAGGATATGTCTGCAGAACTCAAGCCCCAGTCCTCTGCTGGCTCCCTGAATGAGCGCCACGGGAGCAGCCATGACAGGTGAGTGACGTAACACCGGAGGCGGATGGAGAGTTTTTGTGTTTGTTGCCTTCAGGTCCACCCTAAACGTCGTAATTTTGTATTTTTGGTAAAAAGATAGCGAGGAATTGTGCAAACAATTGACTTTTATTAGGCCCGTAATTAACTTTGTTGATTTGTAAACTTTCTGCTTACAGCAGCGTCGAAAACTCATAATTTTGACTTTTTAAGAACTCAAGAATTTAAAGTGAACGAGGAGAAAGTGAAGGCAGCATGTTTCACAACAGGCAAAATGCGCTGTAGGTCATTTAGAAGGCACTTACACAACGCTGCTTATGTGCAAGCCAGACATGGATCATACAGGACTAAAATAATCTGTTTAGTTCGTGCACTTAAATAAATTTTTCCAAACCTTCACCTCACACATCTAGACATCCCATCGGCCTTTTCCCGTCTAGAGTCAGAATCTGACGGGTTACAGTTTTTGCTACAACACTGTGAAGAATAAGTGTGTTACATACAACACAAATTATATGAGAAAACAGCCACATTAAAAAAATATTCTGTGGGGAGGCATAAGCGCTTTCATCCCAGCCAACATTTGTATGTAGGGCCCCCGTGGGTAGTAAATGGACTGAAAAAAGGGCCCTATAAGGGACTGTCCATGGGTTCCATATTGGCCCCATGACATTTGCCCACATATGGTAGATTTACCCACTTGGGCCACAGATAAGATGCCCATTTTGGACCCATACCCAGTTTGTACCCAGGTAGCCCCAGCATGATCCATTTGGGCAACTGGCATGGGACCAATATGGTACCTGTACACAGTCTCATATAGGGCCCATTTTTCAGCTCACATGGGCCCTACATACAAATGTTGGCTGGGATTCAGCGTTTGACATTTGATTAACCACTTCACAGATATGTGGTGTCGATTGTAAAATGGCACACAATGAAATTAACAGCAACGTTTCACCACATTTAGCTCCAAACAATGTTATAAATGTGTGTGATTTTTGATTTTTATAAAGGCGCTTTTTACTAGATTAACAGCAATATGTGTGAACTTCGTCATATTTCCTTTTCTTGTTAAAAAAAATATTTATTACATGTAATATGTTACATGTAAACATTAAAATCTAATTATCAAATCTAAAGGTTAAATCTTAAATCTAAACGTGCTTGAAACTAAATATTTAGCTAATATGCAAATTGACAGTGCTAGATATAGATTTAAAATTTAACCAAAAATTCACACCATATTTTAAAATATTGTTTGGAGCTAAATGTGGTGAAATGTTGCTGTAAATTTTAGTGTGTAACTTTATAATCGGCGTCCCATTCAAAGACTTTATGGCGTTATGCTCCAGTCCAGCAGGTGGCGATAGTGTATCGACAATCACCATTATATCCGGTGAAAAAGCGTGTTGAACTATAAATGTTTTTATAGTTAAACACATATTTTAAAAAAACATATTATACAAACAATTAATTTAGAATATAAAGGAATGAGCTTGTAATGGTCGATTAATTAAATCCAGTCGAGCCCAAACCGGAAGAGGCTACGGTTGCCTAGCGACAAGTGGAAGAGTAGCGTCAGTTAGCTAGCTAGCTAGGCTATCAACTAACACACGGAATATGCTCCATAAAACAGCGTATAAATGCCACCAAAAAGAAAAGGACCTTTGCAGCTTGTCCAGAGAGAAGTGGACGAAATCAAAAAGCAGGTTTGTTACAAAATGGCGATTGTTTTGGTGGTTTATTAGCGGCGATGAACTCAACAACTGTGGCTGCCAGATTGGCAGTTACATGAAGTTATTGAATAGACAAGAGAGGTTGTTGCAGCTGTAGCACTCACCAACCGTTGTACAAAGAAAACGTAGCCCCTTGAAGTGGAAGATACGTCTTGGGCAGTTTTATTAAGAGCTAAAAGGCCTTTATAGATGTGCCTTGTGTTAGCATTAAAGTCCAGAAATGGCCGAAGATGAATATATTTTGTTCGTCATTTGTACATAAAGGTAAAAGTAAAAGAGATTTTCCTTAAAAATTAAGAGCTTTTTGGTTCATGAAGTTAATGCCGAATTTCGTAGAACACACAAAGAAAGACCCTATAACTTGTTTGATGAAGTGGTCAGTCAAAAGGCAAGGGAATGTTAAAACGTTAGATTATAAATGAGTATTGGGATCTTGAACCTATCTTCACACAACGCAACACATACAAAGGACAGGCCTGTTGTTTTGTAGCCAAAGAAAACACCCAGCAGGTATTAGATCTGAGACATGTGTTTATATGTCATTAAACAGGAAGTATAAACACTATAAAATGTACAGAGGTAGACACAGTGGTGTCAACACTTCTTAATTCACTGCCAGTTGATCTCGTTGTTCTTCTAATCCAGGTTGACAGCCTGTTTAAGGATGTGCAGAGTCAGGATGGATCCACTGAAGAAGCATTACGCAGGTAAACAGGAGTGCTTCCTAAACTAGTTTTACTTCTTGTAAGTGCAGTTAAGACCAGGACCATCATTCACCAGCACTGAAACTACTAAAGGGACGTGATTTTACTCTGCTTTTATTCCCACTCCTCTTTTTCCCATATCATTATGATTTAGTTGATTTTAATTGTGCCTTGAGGTTTGATTTTCTTCTAATGTCCAATCCCAAACAGATGTCAAGAACTGCAGATGTCGGCAGAGAAGACACAAAGGACACTGAGGAACCTGACCAAGGTCAGTTCTGTGCTCTCAGTAAACTTGGAAATATAATTTTTAATTTTTTTTTGTAATAGGTGTGTGCAGTACAATTATTCAGTTCTACTACTAGATGACCTCCAACATTGCAGCCAGGACTTTTGGTTGACCTAAATCAACAGTTTGTATCATAAAAAATGACATTATTTATGGTCCCCAAATCAATATGCACATGTTTTCTGAAAAGAAAAATCCCAGAGACTGCAAGAAAGTCAGGTATCACTGACAGACCAACACTGGCTTGTTGAGCAACGTTCTAATACATCAATTTAAATTTACTGTATTGTGACTTGTTGTGATCTTTTAAAGGACATTAAGCTAAATTGGTGTTGTAATTCATTGCCTAATTTTTAGGCAGATGAGCTGGCTCCAGTGGGGAACTATGATCAGAGGAAGCAGGAGGAGGAGAGACGACTGCAGAACATCTTGGAGCTTGTAAACACCCTCTCTCTGAAGCTTTCACCACCAGGACCCAGTACTGCTGCAGGGTCAGTGCTGACGATGTCATATCCCTTTTTGCCATGGCTCAGTTGAGTTTTCCCATGACAAATTAAATCCACGTTTATCCTTTGTAAAGAAGCTGCACAGAAATATTGATTTCAAAACACTGATTTCATCCAAAATTTAAAATGTCTTCTCACATTACTGTGTTTCGATCTACAGTGATGATTCAAAGGAAGACAGCGAGGAGGAGGATGATGACGAAGATGATGACGAAGACAGTAGCGATGCCGACGATGGCGGCAATGATGAAGACAAGAAGCAAGCTGTGAAACCGCCCTCTCAGTCAGACCCTCGTGTCTACACAGCCCTGAGTGATTTCAAAGGAGAACAGGAGGGAGATCTGTCTGTGCAGGTGATGTACTTCCTGTTTCAGACACAGAGGTGACGCACAGGGGTGTTGACATGAGTTCAGCTGCAGCCTAAGCACTCCAGCTGTTTCATTCCATGTATGGACACTGCACAGCCCTGCAGGTACAATTAAATAACGAGAGGCTGACAGGGAAACAGTATGAAATGAATTATTACCAAGAAACTCGTCAATGACACACTCCTTTGATTTTAAGCTGGGAAAGTCTGTTAGTAATTCATGAATACTGTGGAGCTACATGACTCGTTTGTGTCCCTGCTGTTTTCAGAGGGGGGACGTGTTGAGGATTATCAGGAAGACAGCAGATGGATGGTGGCTGGCTCAGGACGCTAAAGGCAACAGAGGAGTGGTTCCAAAAACCTACCTGAAGGTACACAAGCTGCTGAACATCTGCATCACATCAAACCCTCCTGTGTTGTTAATTTTAAATGTAAGCAGCTGCAGTGTGTTGATGTAAAGTGGTGACTCACTTTTCAGATTGGCTCTAGTGTCGATGATGAAGAAGATGATGACGATGATGGTGATGAAAATGAGGAGGAGGAGGAGTCAGAAGAGGAGGAAGAGCAAGATGGTGAAGAATTGACTGATGACCAAGAGAAACAGAGGTCCTACATATTAAGAAACTTTGTATAGCTTTTGATTGAGTGTGGTTCTGACTAGTGTAATGAGAGACAGCTCTCTATCTGTGTGACTGACACTCGATAATCATCAATCAGTTTAATTTTGATTCCTTTCTTCTTCAACAACAGTTCTCCACATTCCAACTGGAGTACTGTCAGAAAGGCTTTGACCAAGGCAAGTATCTACAAACTACAAGTACTGTCACTGGAACTGATGCTACTGTTAGGCCCTGGTTACACAGGCTGCAAAACGCAGGGCGCACCGCACTGCCACCCCATCACGTCCTTACACTAACCTTCCCGTGTGATCAATCTACCGTTTTTTCCCCACAGTAACTAGTATCTGGTTCCTAAAATGTTGAGGTAGAGGGTACTTGCTGTAGCTCTGGTTGAGGGTGAGAGGCTGTCAGCAGATAAACAGAGATCTGTGTGGGTACATGAGACCCTAAAAAAGAGGGTGGATCATGGGGAGTACCACCAGTTGGTCCAGGAGCTTCTCCTCCATGATGGCCATTTCCAGTCATATTTAAGGATGACTCAGGGGCAGTTTGAAAACCTGCTGTCTATCATCAGGCCGTATAGCTCTGGGTATCCAGCAACTGCTACCTCCAGTTTCTCCTCCATTGTTTACCAGCTGTAAACTTGTTGTCATGACCACCACAGAAGGCCCGCCTCTAAAATCATCTGGTTGGACAATGGGAAAAAAGAGGACAAAAAAAGAGATGACATGGGGCACTTTTCCGCTCTGAGTGGAAGTTTTTTGCAACTCGAGGAGTTCAGGGTGCTCTGGCAAAAACACCAGGCACCTAGAGCTCAGAATCGCCAGGTGCATCACAACGTAAAAAATGCAAGCAAAAAGCTTCATTGTCATCACAAACAATTACAAAAAGGCGCCTCCAGCTGCTGAAACACTTCTGTGTGATCAGGGCCTTAATCTTCTTATTGACAAATATACAATCCACAATGTGAATAATATAGGGCTGTACCAAATAGTACAAAGCTTTGAAGCTTCATTCATAACGACACTTGAATTCTTAATCAACATTTGAATGCTGCCTAGCATGTCTGTTCATTCTGTTTAAACACTTTATTTCTGCGCAGATGCAGATAAAGAATATTATTAGTATTATACTGTTTGTAGAATTAGATTACAGTGGTGGCTGTGGAGGATTGTTTCCAACATTTCCAATAACTCCAGAGCATTCTAAGTCCTAAAGTCAGAATTTGTTATAAAAAGATAGACATAATCTTTTCCAAAATGACCAACATGTTTTTATCTGACAAAATATTCTGCTTCAATCTATATCTGTTGGCATTTAACTTTTAACAACAACAAACAAACAACATTTTTCACTGCGATCAAACAACTCTTTGCTTTCCCTATTAATGGGACAGTCTGGCAGCACCATGAGTTACAGTTTTTCATTAAAGGGAGTTCATTAATAAAAAAAATGAATAACTTATTTAATGTGATGAACTACTTTCTTAAAATTGCGGAATTTGTTTGCAGATTTTTTTAATGTTTTTAGGGCAATGACATCATGAAATATGACGACAGACCTTAAAAACTATTTGCAAACCTCCGCTTCAAATGTATAAAGATGACATTTGGTGCAGCTCTAAATGTGTATACAATATATTTATGGTTTCACTGTGTGTGCCTCTGTGTGTGTGGCAGATTGATGCAACAGATGTGCTCTCTGCCATGGGGGCTATACCTTCAGGATTCAGACCATCAACTCTCAATAAACTGCTGGTGGAGGAAGGTCAGTATACGCTCTCTAAAACACACACACACACACACACGCGTGCGCGCGCAGGTGATGATTACAGCTGATTTCCATTACACTCGTCTCAGAACACAGGAAAGGTTAATCAACTATTTTTGAGGTGCAATGAACGATTATTTTCGTTATTAATTAATCTGCAAATATTTTCTCAATGAATGAGTATATCATTTTGTCTATTAAGTGTCAAAAAAAATGTAAAACACAGATCACAGTTTCCCAGAGTCTAAGTGATGTCTTTAAAACCAATCAAAGAGCAGCGGTCATGCAGCAGCACAGAGACCATTTGTGTGATTCCTTCGCAGTTTAAACCACCACTACAATTACCACTGGTGCTGGATGCTGTTAGTAGCAGTACTTGTTTAACTAATACATATTCATGATTAAACGGTAAAGCAGTAACCGTTTGTGTCTTTTTTCTAGGTATAACATACAGAGGAAGTCACTATATTCAGCCACAGCTCAGCCAGTCGCAGCTGTCCTTCAGTGACCTCTTCCTGGATCCAGACACGGGCAGGGTGAGAGTGTCCCTGTGTGTGTGTGTGTGTGTGTGTGTGTGTGTGTGTGTGTGGTGAATAAAGACAATGTTTTCAGGTTTCTCACACTGCAAAGCATCCACTCATGAACACACTTCCTCGATATAACACTTCAAATTACTGCTAACTCATCAGTCTCCTGTTCTGTCCCGCAGGTTCGTGCTCGGCAGGTCAGGACTTGTGTTTGTTTCAGTCTGTGGAGCTGCAGGATGATTCCTACTCCTGGGGTCGGAGTTCAGGTCCTCAGCAGACACATCCGCCTCTGTGCCTTTGATGGAACTCAGGTGGAGTATTTCTGCCGACCCATGTCTCTGCAGTGTGGAACAATTCAAGAAATACTGTTGATTTATTAATTATTAGCTAAAATTTCCATAAAAAAAACTCTTGTTCTATCCTGTTTTTTAATGAGCTGTTCTTGTGTCTCAGGTGTTGAGTAACATCCACACAGTGAGGGCAACCTACAACTCCAAGAGCCCCAAGACCTGGAGCTTCTCTCCAAGGGTATGTTTACGACGCAAATTAACACACTGTTGTTATTGTGTTCTTTCTTTGTTGTCTGGTCAGGTGATGTGGATTTTGCTTAAACTACTTCTGGCACTTCAACTCTGATGGTTGTTACTGAGATACAATGCTTAAATGTGCCAGAACTGACTCCTGAAAAGCTAAAACACAAAACTATAGCACTGAAATCTTTTGTTTAAGGCTGACCTTTAGTCCTTAAATGTTTTTGTGTGTTTGCTCCAGATGACAGGCATCCTTCCCACCCTCCTAGACGGAGACTGTTTCCTACGCTGCAACTCGGCATCTCCTGACCTTGGTATCCTCTTTGAGCTGGGAGTCACCTTTATACGCAACGTGAGGACAAACACACACAGACACAAATGTCAGTACAGACAGGACACATAGGACTACACAGGAAATGGAAAACTACTATCTTGAGCCCTTTTTTGTTGTCAAGGAAGATTAATAGAGAAGAATTCCTCCCTCAGCGACTGGACAGTTATTAATGAAGCAGAGTGTTGGGGATGCAGCTGTGTCCAATCTTCTGTGTGTGTTTTAGTCGACAGGTGAAAGAGGGGACCTGAGCTGCGGCTGGGCTTTCCTCAAGCTGACTGATGACACTGGAAATCCACTCCCCAACAGGTACACACACACATATACCAGTGTATACAGTGCACATGCAAGTCCTTCTACTGCTTTCTACTTTCTACTAGTTCTACCGCTGCCCCATTGGACACTTGATGAGCATGCTACAAGGCACAAAATCGTCTGCTCCCAGTTTCAAGCTGGTCCAACGTGGCAGCTTGTTTGGAAACTTCCTCGTATAATACAAAACAGTTCATGGAAATGTGTTTCTGAAAACATTTGAGGCGAGGAGTGTGCCGTGCAGCTACTGAATCTGTCTGCATTTTAGATCGGTTAGTTTTTCAGGAGTTTCCAGTTGTGGTGAGTCACGCTGGACGCCCCTGATTTGCAAAAAGTAGCCCAGCTTCAACTTCATGCAAACGAGGAGTGGAAACCCTGGTCTCTAAAACGAAACATGGCCCAGAATGCATCACACGGCTGCCTACATAGTGAATAAGAGGGGTGGAGATGAGGAACCATCTGGACATGTACCATTATTTTGTAAACAGATCACCATACACATTGTTATATCAACCCAGAAATACATATAAATATGAAACACAGACATCTTTTTTTGTTATATATATGTGCAGTGTGAAAGAATGAATGGCTATCTGTGAAAACACCTATCTACCGTATGAGTGATGTGTCCTTAATACTTAAAAATCTAATCGAACCTGTGTCTAGGACCTATGAGCTGCCAGTGAACGGTGGCACTCCCTATGAGAAGGGTGTCATGTTGGAGGCATCAGTCACCAGAGGAAGTAAGAAGACAACAGCTCAACACTCGTGTCACATGTTTGACAAACACGTTTGCTCAGTACATAAAAACTTTCAGCAAACTTTGATTGTCATCAGTATGATGAGTATGTTCTCTCTTATCCTCTCAGCTCCAGCTGGTGTTTTCCAGCAGATGCTTCAGACCAGGCGGCAGCCCAAACTCATCGTGAAGTTAAAATCAGCCAACAGCCGCAGCAGAACGCAGCTCAGGTGGGAGGATCGGCATGAAAATCTCACCACAGGGCTCGATCACATGTAGTGGAATGTGTGATCTAGTTCAATAACTATAAATGTAGACTAGATTTGCATGTGTGCGCACATACACTATACTGTGTATGTTAGTGACAAGTATGTTTTCTTCCTCAGTCTCCTTCCAGACACTCTGCTGCACTGTCTAAGCTGCGTCCACCTGCTGGCTCTACACAGGCAGCTGCTGGCCGACACACTGCTGATGGACAGACCCACCATGCAGAATGCAGGTAACACACACAAGTGTTGGCACGATACTGGAATTTCTAACTTTGATACAGTATCTTTGAAAATATTGATCTTTGATAACATTTTCTATACCATGGGGAAAAATTGTTATTATTAAAAGATAAATATAACAAGGCTGATGACGTTTTCTTTCTTGGTTAGTAGCAGAGAACAGCTGAGTGACTGTTGTAAATATTAACGATAATTAAAACTTTTTTCCATGAGTGAGAACAATATTCTTTTTGTGGTGGTGCACATGTTCAATAGACTATGAGACTGTCACATAATCAAAATGCAATAAAAGTGCAAGTAAAAAACAGATGAGTGACAGGACGACAGCACTGTGAGAGGAGGCGGGGCTTTGGGTCACCCCACAGTCGTGTGTGTGTGTGTGTGTGTCAACTCACACTTGGAGAGAAGAGTGTGTGAGAGAGTAGTGTTGATGGTATCGATACTGTGGGAAAGGAGGATTGAAAACTGTTTCAAATATTCAGAATCGATATGTATCGCTAAATGTATATTTTCGACAGCACTAAAACCAGTGTTGGGCAATTACTCCCAAAATGTAATGTATTAGATATTGCTAGTTACCTTCATTTAAAAGTAATGTTACATGACAATATTACTCTGTGTAGAGTAATAAGTTACTTATTACATTACTTTTGTCTTACTTCCCCATAGGGGTGTCCCGATCCGATCCTTGGATGGGGTATCGGCTCCGATCACGTTATTTTTACAAAATCGGAATCGGTAATAAACGATCGGAGGAATCAAAACAACAAAAATGGCCAGGTTTTTCATCCATGTTGTTCATTGTTGCCTCCTCTTTCCAATGTATAAAGATATAGGCCTATTTTGTTTGTTGAAGACAAGAAGAAGAATTTGTTTACATTTTGTGCTGCTGAACCACCGATAAGCTTTTTGGATACTATTTAAATAAAAAACAAACCTTATGGGACAACTTGGATGCATTCTTTTTTTCTTTCTTCATGCTTTGCAAAGTATCGGATCGGACTCGGTATCGGACTCAGTTTCAAAATAAAAGACTCTGTATCGGACTCGGTTTCAAAATGAAGGACTTGGTATCAAATCGGATGCAAAAAAAATGTGATCGGGACATCCCTACTTCCTCAAAATGACCTCAGAAGAACTAACAGGCATTTTAAATGGACGAGGGTCACGTTCACATACAGCAGTTACTACTTTGTATTTACATCCCCTGCTTATATTAATAATAGTGTAATGATATAGATCAATTAAATAGCCTGGACTGTTTAAAATAAATTAATAAATGAATATTCTTGGACACAGGGAGGGTCAGGCAGAGGATCAAAGTCTGATAATTATGAGACATGCACACATATTTGTGGGTCTATGATATGAAACACAATAAACAAATATTGGGGTCAGGACAACTAACAGAACAGCATGCGAGTAAATCACTGTGACGAGCAATCTGATCAGCTGCTGCAGCACCGGAGAGAGAGTTATGCATAAGAACAGTACCGTGTACTGGTGTTGCTCTACGGTTGCAGGGGATGTGAATGGAAACACATCCAACATATACTAACATCATCCATATGTTGATCACTGGGACGAGGAAAAAACAAACCAGAGGCCAGCTCTTTATCCCCACTGCTTTCAGGCAGCCTTAAAAGTAATATATTACTGCAACAAGTTACCCCCAACACTGACTAAAACACACCTTCATTGCCTCTTCTTTAAAGCAGATATGCAGATAATGCAGATATTCATGGTTCTTAGAATTAACTCAACTTGCTCTCTGTTTCAGAGCTGATAAGCAGTCCTGTACTGTCTACCTTCCCTGTGCTGTTGGACCAACCAGACCTGCTGGATGCTCTCAGGGTCAGTAGGGACAGCACCATGGTCGAACTTAGTCCAAATTACCAAAATATAATTCAGTACAATGTTGTTCTCTGTGGACATTTTCATGCCAATAATGTATCCACTTGTTCTGAAACCAAAAAGGTTTTCTGCATTTCCTTTAGACAGTGAAAAAGTCGTCAAGTAAAATACTGAATACACTGCTTTGAAATTATTGGATTTGCAAAACAACATCACTCAGTAAAATAATAATGTAACTGTCATCTTCTTTCAGAGTGCCTGGCTGGAGTCTGAGACCAGCATGAGCCGAGCACAGAAGGTCAGTGTGTGTAATACCAGTACAGACCTGTAGAGGGTGCTGAGAGTATGAGGAACCTCAGAAGTTAAAATGTGTGAGCTACCAGCGCATCTTGTCATGGCAAGCTGCTGACCAGGTGTAAATATAACGAGTTCCTTCCTCCCTGTGTGTTTGCAGAGAGACCTGACCTACCTAAAACAGGAGTTCATTAAAGTCTACATGTCATCCGTCTACTTCCTCCTCCACTCGCCCTCGCTGCCCTGTCACCGCTGGGCGGACCCGCCCTCAGAGGAGCAGCGAGCCAGAGTCATCTACGCCACCCTGGATTCTCTCAAACACACCCAGCACACCACCGGACAGTGTGGAGGCCCCGAGGTGTTTGTCGACCCCATGCATCAGCATCTTGCCTTCGATATCACAGAGTTGACCTTTGACCTCCTGCGTGTGGCACGGTGACAGCAAATCGCTTAAAGGGAAGGTTGATTATTATAATAACTAGGTGTATTCTGTTATTTTGGTTTATTGTAAAAAATAAAATGTGCCATGAATACATCTGGGAACACTTTTTAAATTTTCTGATGATATTTTATATTTTTGATACTGTCAATAAATCTCATGAGAAAACAATATCCATTATTTTTAATACTTTCTGACACCCAAACAGTAAATGGTGTATTGTAGGGGACTATTTTCAGCTGTGGATTAATACACATTTGGTGCTCTAGTTCGAGGCAGCAAGGCTGTGTATGTGAGACCAACTCAAAATAAACTGCAGTGCCCATGCTCATCGTGATGACGGAAAGTGTCCCTCAGTGCAACAGTGCAGCTCAGTGATGTGTTTTGAATTGTCTTCGGACAACAAGGGAGCTCTACGGCTCTATTTGTTTTGGATTTTTGTTGGGATTTGTTGAAAATGAAGTGGTCTTAAGTTTTAAGAAATGCTAGCACAATGCTAACATACAGAACACTGAATACAAACACAGATGTTTCTGTGTACCTTGAGATTACATGAGACACTAATTATGGATAATGAGTGTGTTAAATAGTGACACTATTAGCCTGTTTCCTACGACTATGTGTTGCCAAATTTTGTTTAATTCCTTAATAAACATTGTATTAAAATCACTCGATCTGTCACAGACTTTGTTTTCTGACTGGTCACTGAGCTGCACCATTTAACTCCACCCATAAGTTCAACATTAGCCGTGTGTGTGTGTGTGTGTGTGTGTGTGTGTGTGTGTAGTGTAGAGTTTCAGGGTATAAGAGCAGTGTTCAGGGTTAATAATTAGTGGGCCGTCGTCTTTTTATAGCCTGGTATAAAAAGAACAAGAGCAGCGAGAGGTTGGATCAGTCCGGGCACAGACAGGCTCGAGTGATCCATCAGTTTGTGGTTTCACGTTTTATCAGGATGAATCGTAACAATGATACAACAGTTCAACATATTATAACCTTTGTGTCTGCGTTACATTCATGGAGACTGAATGGAAATCAAACAACCCAACTCTTTAAAATGCAGGAAACTTTATTGACCTTTCTTTATGACTTAAGAATTCATTTAAACTGATTATTTCCAGTGATATCCTCATGCTATACAGGCTGCAAGAAATGTTGTAACCCCTCCCCCTCAATACATTCCGACACTTTAAAGAATACTTCAACACACCACGACTTAAAATTAACTCCCAACTTGACCTTTAACCTTAGACCAAGCCCTACACTCAGCTGATCACTGACTAAAATGTCTCTAAACACCTCCATGTCTCATGTCCAGAATGTCTCCCTGTAGTCGAGACTCTCTTCCCTGCAGTGTTTGCTGGTAAATAATATTGCATATCCTGTATTTCCACATTCCAGAGCCATTGCCATGGTGACAGTGCCTGTGGTGACCAGGGAGTTGTTTGGGTTACCATCAGGGTGATAGTAATATAATATCTAAAGGCAGCAGTAAACAAAAGGGTAAAACTTCTTGAAGCTTCTCAGGCGGGACAGGAAGTTGAAGAATTACTTCACTGTTGTTTCTTTAATCACTTAGAAACGTCTTGTTGACACAGAACAATGGACTAGATGTGTTTGTTGGCTGTTGATTAAAGACAGCATTGTCCACCTACCACTGTGCATCACACAGGATACTACTCTTGACTCTTTGTTTCTCACTACTGATCGACTATAAATAGGTTTGTTCTAGAAAAACATAACACCTGAAAGCTTTATTTTTTTATTTTGTATTTACAGCTTTGACACATAGTTGATTTGCAAAAACAGTCAATAGAAATGAGTGTGACAAACAATTTCTGCTATCTTAAATAGCTGCAGATGAAGATGGAATTTTAAAAAAGAATAAAAAATGATCAAATTCAAGAAGAAGACAAGAAATTCAACTGCAAATAGCCTCATGGTTTTACTAATACACATCACCACATAAATGTATGACTACTACTACTACTAATATTCTTAATTTAGATAGGTTAAGTTACAAAGCACTCTACAAATATGAATTAATAAATAAATGATAAAAACATTTTACATAAAAGCTATACAATATGGGGAACATTAGATATAAATAAGAAAGAGCAAAATAAGTAAAATAAAACAAAATAAAATAAATAACAAAAAATACAAAATAGAAAATAAATAAATAAATAGATGATTAAAACATTTTACATTTACATANTTTTACATTGCCCTGCATTGGCCTTGGGATAAACTCTCTGAAATCATAACTCAAATATGCCACTCTTATTGTCTGGGCATAACATTTTCAAACTCAAGAGATACTGACAGGCTCTCAGTTTTCACACACTTTCTCTGCATTTGTAGTCTCATTGCTTTTACCACTTTTCCTGTTTTCACTTCCTGGGTTATCTATCGTCATAGCCAGAGGTACATCACATATAACACACTTTGCTGCATTCGCTGGAACATGAGCACAAATCTTCACTTGATTTAATTTTTCCTTTTTTTAAAAGATATTTTTTGGGGCATTTTTACCTTTAATCGATAGGACAGAAAAGTGTGAAAGGGGAAGAGAGAGAGGGAGTGACATGCAGCAAAGGGCCACAAGCCGGAGTCGAACCCGGGCCGCTGCGGCAACAACCTTGTACATGGGGCGCCTGCTCTACCACTAAGCCACCAACGCCCCACAAAGTCATATTTTTAAGTTACTTATTCTTTTTTTATCAACACTCAAAAGACAAAAACAAACAAACAAACAAACAAACAGCATAAAAAGCCAAGGCTACATACATTTTAGATGCTGTAACCAGCAGATATATACATATATATTTTTTTTTACTTGAGAACTGATTTGAATGAATAAAGTATGATCAAGTATCATTAAATAAACTTGACTTGATTAAATCAATCAGTTAAGTGCTTCACAGTGTTAATTCCACTACAGGGGAATGTATTTCCACTGTGGCCACTGAAAAACAACATACAGTGTGCGATCAAACACAATCAGCTCATAATTTCAGCACACCCTTTGCTCTAATTTGCTAAATTATTCTTTATTGTAGCAGAAACGTAACAGTTTGAATGAGTTAGAAACCTGTTTGGCAGTGATACTCAATTTACAGCCCATGGGCCACAGCCATTATCTCATAATGAAAATAAATTGATTCAAACTGGGATATTTTTTGTACTTTAATCATAAATGAGGAGCTGGAGTGCATAAAAAAGCTTTAAAGGATCTGAGCTCTGCCCCAGATACCCTAAGAGCCTCAAAACACTCGCCCCCGAGGCAGAGCAGTGAGTATCCCTGCTGTGTGGGCTGAATGCACGTCCCTTATATAGATGATGTTGATAAGAAGTTTTAGTTCCTTACTGCCCCTTTATAATCTGAAGAAGGTGCAGAGAACTTGATATCCACAGAACCTGGTTTAACTATGCAAACAGCACAGCAAACTTAAAGGCAGATTATCTGCAAATCACTGAACATTTACCATACGTGTGTGTTTAGTGGAGTGATAGTGAAACCTCACTGTAGACTTGACTGGAAATATTGAGACATTCTCACCCACTTCTCTTTGTGCCCCAGGAGGACTATTGTGTCTGAGCAGGAGGAGGAGGAAGAAGAAGAAGAAGAGGAGGAGTACTGTAAGAGCAGGTTGAGCAGGATGGTGAGAGTTTCCAGGGAATAGTTGTAGATGTGAAAGATGATCCAGGAAGCCACTGGATGTTTTTTCCCTCCTTGTTTGAACAAGTAAACACCCATTACAACAAATGTTACAGGAGGAAAAGAAAGACTGCTGGAGGAGAGAAAATTGAGTGTTTAAATCCCAGATAACATGACACAGAGCACATATTCTATGTAATGAACAAATAATAGGCTATCATTTATTCACAAAAAAGGGATGCTAGCAGACACTGGTGACACGTGGAAATCAAAGTACTATCACCGTAGTTTATTTATTTTGAAATGTACCGTACGATAGTTTATTATCTTCAGTGTAAAAAAAAAAGTGATCAATGTAGCATCAGCTAGCATCAGTAATTCTCAGGGGAGAGACCAACATTATAATTTATGCTCTGTGTAGCTTTTTTGAGATATTACATCACTTTTCAGAATAATTTAAATGAAGCTAAATGTAAAAATTCATAAGGAAGTGTTAATTTTGTTAACAAAAACCATGAGCTTTTCTCCATGATGATAACAAGATGATGACGAGCTCAAAATAGATTTTGATAATAAAGACGAAATCTATGTTTTATTTCGCTGATGAGACGAGACATGACAAAAATGGTTGTGGTGGACTATTGGACATTGAAAAGCCGTTAATGAAAGCCATGGCAAAGTTTTTTCATCCTTAAAAGAGAGTTCACACGCACATCCGGACCAAAGCTGGGCAGGTGCTGAGCCGAAAAAAGCACGAGATGAAAAAACAAAACGCTCGCACACTGCAGGGCTCCAATGCTGAAGTTTTAATGAAGTGACCTTTCGAGCGTTATGCTCTTCATCAGACTAACAAAACAGAGGGTGCCGCCATCTAGAATCTCCAAGACATAAGCATTCGTTTGGAGCCGTGTTTGGATCAGAATGCACCGTCCATTCATTTTCCTTTGCTCATGGTTATGTTCTCAGACATTTAGCATATTTAATATTGGTAGAGCAATTGTGTTAGTCATCCTCCTGGGAGGTCAGAGGTCAGGTTCAGCTACAGAGCAGCTCCCCCAGCAGTTATTAAACAGAGCAGAGCAGTTACCGGCAAACAAGTTGAAGTGCAGTTTGTGCGTCCATCAGGCCGCCCTGCTCAGTGAGGTTCTGAGATATTTGACATTTTTCTTTTTCTTTTCTCATGGATAAAAATCGTGTGGTTTTGTCGTTCAGGATATAAAACACAATGCATTCTTTATCATTGTTGGAGCATGTGTGTGTACATACACCTGACACTGACAAATAGCCATTGTAATTTGACAGAGCTGGCAGGGGTTCCCATGGAAGTGTGTGTAGAGGGTTATGGCCGTAACAAGATCCATGGCGGAGGAGGAGCTAGTCCAAGGCGTGTCTCTCTTAACGCTGGCCAAACACAATTTGTTGGCTTGCTGGCGAGGGTAACACTGTTTCTGTGTGTGTGTGTGTGTGTGTGTGCGTGTTAAGACAAGATAGTTTTACACTTCATTATATAAAAAGATAAACTAAACTATTAAACATCCAACGGATTAAGTTACAGGCTTTTAAAATAAAGTTGTTAAAAAATGTTTGAAAATGGACCTCTTCCTGTGAGACGTTGGGACGATGAAAATTGGGCTGTCTGGTTAGTGGGAGTGAATCTAAACACAACACATATCTTTACTGTCTTTAATTACTCTCAGGCAGCTGTTGTCGGTGAAAGGCTCCACTGTACACTACCTGCCCACCACCACACTGCAGACAAAGTAAGGAACTAGCTGGAGAACACAGCGGAGCATTTAGCAGCTAAACACAGGGAGAGATTTCCCTCAGGAGTTAGAGGCAGACTTTTATGCAACATGAGGACACAAACACACCTCCAAAGGAATGACAATGCTGCTCCATGTCTGCTTGATTCATACATAAGCTGCTGTTTGCTAAGGCAGGGTGGATGACACACAGCAAGGGGCCGCAGCCTGAATCAAACCTGGGCTGCTGTGGTGAGGAATCAGCCTTG